GAAAACTGGATTCCTCCAAGACCAGCACATTTTAAAAAGCTAGAAACAGAGAGTATGATCTATGAAAAGGGGATTGTTAACATGATGTGCTGTGAAGTTAAATCATAAAGGAAGCAAAGGACAGAAAAAGTTACTAGTTTGGAAAATTATATATTAATCTAGGGGTTCATAGGATCCTGATAAAATCAAAAGAATCACTGAAGTGGAAGTTCCTGAATAAGCATAGAAGGGGAGGAGGCTGTAGTTAGAGTGGGAGGTTTGAGTTAATGATGTTGGACATGGGATAGCTACAGTGTATGATCACATCCAAGGAAGTTTGTAGCTGAAGAGGAGCAAAGCTCACTAGAGATGAGAGGCCATGGATTTGACTCCATCAGGTCTCTTGCAGTTACAATTTATAGAAAATTCAAATCAAACTGGAATTACAAAAAGGAAATGTAGTAGCTTTTGTTATTAAAAAATCTGAATCCATGATCTGAGTCCAGTCTGAATCCATGAGCTTATAGGGTCTCTCCACTTTTCACTTCTGTCCTCTCTCCTCTATATTGGCTCCAATCTCAGGCAAGCTTCTCTTCAGTGGTAACAAAACTTGATCCTGTGCTTGGGCAGATCTGAGTCTTGCATCTGCTTGTGATACATGGGGGGTAGGGTAAAGTCAGACCTATCTGGAAACATGAACTGAGAGAGTTTGAAGATTTTCATCAGAGAAAACATGGGGTGTAGCTACCAGCAGAATCAATGTATGCCAAACAATAGAAACAACCAAGACTTTTCTTCTTTTACTGTGTTGGAAGGCTGTGTATGAGGTCATCTGGTTGGTAACAGACCTTGGAGTGGAGAGGAATCCCATACACCAGTCTTTGATGAAAGAGGCGGCATAGCATGATGTCATATGTAAAACCAAACTTGTAGTGTTGAACTATGAGTATCTTTTGATAACTCTTCAGACTGAAGGATCCTTAAGAGCAAAGGATTTTTTATCCCTTCTACCTAGTGGTGGGCCTGATACTCAATAAATTCTTGTAAATGGATAGATGGATGGATGCATAGATGGACAAATGGATGGATGCATGGGTGGATGGATGATATCTGAATGAACAAATAAACCAATGATTTTGAAAATACCTTAGCTAGAAATAGGCTCACTGTATTTGACCAAAAAAAAATATACAACAACCAAATGTAGCTCTTTTATTAAGACTTCATAAATGGAGCACTGTGAAAATAGGCATAGACTTTGAAGCCACACAAATCTAGGAACCTGTGTGACCTCATGCAACCAATTTAGTCTCACTTTCTTCATCTATAACACTGGGCAACATTAGGGTGCCACCTCTGGGAAAAGGTCAGTGAAATAGTGCTTGCTTTGGCAGCACATATACTAGAAGGCCAGTGAAATAATTTCCCATGAAGGTCCATGAACTACATTCATTATAGTAATGACTTTGCTATAGTTCTCAGCCTGACAATAAAAAACCTTATTTCATCAGCACATAGAAAGGGAAGTCATTTCCCAGATAAGAGACCACGTTAACCAAATTAGAAAACCAGATAGATACCCCAGAATGTTAATTTGTTGATTAACCAGGAGAAATCATTTGAGATATCAAATCATTTGAGAAATCATTTGAGATATCTTCCTGGCTGTAACTACACTTGGGAAATAAAGTCAGAATTAGATGATTTCTTGTAATCAGGTCAGGGGATTTGGGCTGCATCCTGCAAATAGCAATGGCCCAGCTACTGGGAAACACTTGAAAGAAACAGATTCTTGGGTATGGTGGCACAGGTCTGTAATCCAAGCACTCAAGAGGCTGAGGCAGAAGTATCAGCTGTGAGGAAGCCAGCCAGGACTACATAGCAAGACCCTGTCTGAGAGAGAGAGAGACAGAGAGAGAGAGAGAGAGAGAGAGAGAGAGAGAGAGAAGGAGTTTTTTGGGGGGTAGTCTTGCCTCAGCTCCTAAAATACTAGTAACAAAGAGAACAACACTGTCCTCATTGGTGTCATCTGCACATCAGTGGTGTCTCTTCCCTCAGGATCTAGATCAGATGGTGCCTTGCCCCCCAGTCTCCAAGCCTGTGACAGTCCGAAGCCTGTCCCAGACTTCAGCAGACTCTTGGGACATTTGTGTACTCACAGCCTCTTCTTGCTTCCCCGTGACCTCTGCTCAGCATTATGTCAGTCCAGATATGCATCACAGCTTGTTCACCAGTTTCCACCACAATGAAAACAAAGAATCTCACTCACACTAAGCATGGATGAGCAGACTTTTCTAGAGAACTAAGAAGAAGGAAGGTTACAGGAAGGATTCCCATGCAGCTGAGAGAGTGGCCTGTCCAAAGTCTCCACTAAGTTGTGCTAGTTTGCCTTCTAACCAGTAATGTACAAGGATTCCTTTTCCCCCACAACCTCACCAGCATTTATCATTTTTTGAGCCCTTTATAATAGCTATTCTTGGTGGGGTTGGGTAGAATCTCAATGTTGTTTTGATCTGCATTTCTTTAAGAACCAATGATGCTAAACATTTTTTCATGTATTTATTAGCTATTTTTACTTCTTCTGAGAAGTGCCTATTCATTAAGAAAGAGTGGCATATACATAAAGAAGGATAAATCTGAGTCATTTGTAGGGAAATGAATGGATCTTGAGACCATAACACTAAATGAAATAAGTCAGTTATGGAAGGTTAAATATTTCATGATTTCTTTAATATGAGAGATTCAAAATATAAATAATCTTAAGAGAAAAATGAGACAGGTTAAGAAACAGGCAAGTAATCTTTGTAGAGGTGGAAGGATCTGGGGAAAGAGGGAAAGGGGAATGGTAGGGAGATGAGGGAGTAAAACAGATCAAGATGAGATATAGACACATTTCAGTAACCCAAACTGAATGTAATCATGATACAGTGCAAACATAAACTAGTAAAAATATTTAAAAAGAAATTCAGACGGGCAATAAGTAAACAGTCTCCTCTAAACACTCCTGTTGTTCTAACCTCCCTACTGACCATCCTGAGCCCAGGGGCTGCTTCTTAGTAGTCTCATTTCCTCCTCACACTTCTGTTGCTCTTCCTTCCCTTCTCTCTCTTCTGTTCTCTTGCTGCCCCTTCCCTCCCTAAGGTGTCAGACAAGTTCCTTATGCACAGAGTTTCCGCCCTTCTCTGGAACTCTGCTGCTGAAACTCGGCCTAAGGATTCTGCCTTCTAACTTTATTTTACCTTCTAACTTTAATGAAGCAAGCCTTGAGCTAGGGACCAGATCCTACGCTGTCTTGCTGGTAGCCTGGGCCACAGAGGATGGCCAAGGACTAGCTCAGGTGGGGCCTGCAATTAGAGATGGAGGGGGAGTAGGAACATAACAAGAATAATCTAACCCAGAGTAGCTAAAACGGAGAGACAACTGCCCTGAGTCTAGTTCACTTCAGGTTAACAGGATTCAGGTCTCAAGCCTGGAGGGTCCCAGGCTGGCTAGAACCCTGATGACCTAGTACCCACTAGGTCTGTCCTAGGCTTTATGTGAATCTCTCAGAGGCCCTGGAAATTTCACAAAATGAGAAGAACAGAGACACCATAGGCCTTCCCAGGAAGCAGCAGGGTTGCCCCGTACTGTCTGAAGCTCCTCACATAGGCTCCTTGATCAGGTGGCTAAAATGGTCCTTTTGGTCCATCTAGGGCAGGATTTGGGGCAGGAGCCCCACTGATGGAGGGTCCATGCTGGCCCGTGGTGGGGCCACCATCGAAGCTTAACCACAGGTTGATCTTGTGACCATATTTGATTGCAGAATACCACCCTCACCCATAATCCACCCACCTCTGGAGCCTCTGTGGCTCAAGCGAGTAAGTGGTTAGGCTGTTTGCTGCAATCTCCGGAAAAACAGCTCAGGAACAGAGTAGGAGAGTGGGTGAAACCAGGCCAAGGAGAGAGGGAGAAAGAGGAAGGGTGCTGCTGAACCAGATCCACAAGCCAATCTTGAAGGGGGAGCCTAGGTGCGTCTTTCTCTTTGCAGAAGGCACAGCTCTCTGGGCTGGGCAGTGTCAGGGAGGGGTGGACAGGAGATCACAGCACACCTAAAAACTATCTCAAAGGCACGTATCTACATAAAATTCATTTGGACTCCAACTCCTACTCCCTACCCGAGTACATTATCCATTTAGCTTGTTTAACTCTCCCTGCAGACTTCAGTCTCCCACTTGCGACTTTGGGTTCCTGCACACCCATGCTGCCATAGCTGTCAGGCTTGAAGCTGGAGGGACAGGAAGAGAGTTTGGGTTTTGTTTTGACTCTTCGTCCCTGTGGTGGACCAACAAAGGACTTGGTCCTTGGTGTACTTGACCCCGGTACCACCCTGGCTTTCTTTGCAGAAGTGTGTACTAAAAAGAGGAAGCAGAGATTTCAGCCCAGTGCCAGAGAACAAGCCCATGAGACAGAGAGAACAACCACTAAGAAGCAGAAAGGGTCCCAGGGCTTAAATTCCAGGGGAGGTGACCCTGCTCTCTCCATGGTGCTCAACTCTGCCAAAGAAACCAACTGTATCATCTGGAGGGACATCTAGGGCTGGGATTTGAGGCGGGAGCCTCATAGATGGAAGATCCATGCTGGCTCCACCACCACAGATCAACACAGATCATCAAGTACGCTCTTCTAAGAGTCCTTTCTCTTGGAGGAGGCCCTGGGGAGCTTTTACTTCTCTCATGGCTGTGCGACTATCTCCCTACAGCACAGGGTACTTGTTGCTCTTAAACTCTACACACAGGACTTCACCCCAGCACTTATCCCGAGCAGAACCCTAGACCTTCCACCCTGGCCCAAACCTCCCTTCCCAGAACAGTGGACCTCTGAAACGCTCCCAGGGGTCCCTGTCAGTTCCCACTCAGGCCCTGCGCCGTGGGGAAATCCCGCAGCGAACCGCGAGGCCTGGGCACGCCTGGCTGAGGGGGAAGCTCGGCTCTCGTCAGGCGGCCGCGCTCCCAGGAGCCGCGTGACGCGGGGCCCAGCGGATGAGGGCCCTGGGAGCCAGATTCGCGGCGCTCCCGCTCCCGCTCCCCGCGGTTGGCTTCCATGGGCGGTCCCCAGGCCTATTTCGCCGAAGGGGCGGGAGCGGGGGCGGAGCACAGTCTTTCGCAGCCTGGGAAGGCGTGGCTGAGGCGGGAAGGTCTTTGATAGCTGGCTTGGCGGGTGTCACACGCGCTCTGAGACCAGGCTGGGCTGTGCGCGCCGAGCTCACCTGGACGCGGTGCTCGATCGCGCACTCGAGCCCGCCCCGACCCTCTCTGTAGCAGCCGAATTTGGGGCAACATCTCCGTGTCGCTGCCGCCAGCAAGCCCTCTGTCCCCCATCAGAGAGGTCACATGGGCCACGAGGTCACCTGCCCGTGGAGGGGCCACCTGCTTCCCCTCCAGGTGAGGACTTGGATCGAGCCTGTGGTGGCCTCGACCCAGCTGGCCGCCTCCCTCTATGACACGGGGCTACTCCTGGTGGTGAAGGCATCCTTCCGGGCCAGGAACTCCTCCAACCACAGCACCACCCTGTCTCTCCGGGGAGCCGAAGAGGACCAAGAGCAGAAGGCCATCTCCAATTTCTACATCATCTACAACCTCGTGGTGGGCCTGACGCCTTTGCTGTCCGCCTATGGGCTGGGCTGGCTCAGCGACAGGTACCACCGCAAGATCTCCATCGCCATGTCGCTGCTGGGCTTCCTGCTGTCCCGCTTCGGACTGCTCCTCAAAGTGCTGCTGGATTGGCCGGTGGAGGTGCTGTACGGGGCTGCGGCGCTGAACGGGCTGGGCGGCGGCTTCTCAGCCTACTGGTCCGGAGTCATGGCGCTGGGATCCCTGGGCTCCTCCGAGGGCCGCCGCTCCTTGCGCCTCATCCTTATTGACCTGATCATGGGCTTGGCAGGGTTCTGCGGCAGCATGGCCTCCGGATATCTCTTCAAGAAGATGGCTGGGCACTCTGGGCAGGGCCTGGTGCTGACGGGCTGCAGTGTATCCTTTGCCTCTTTCGCTTTTTTCTATGCCCTCTTGGTGCTGAAGGTCCCTAAGGCCAGCAAGGAGTTCCCCAGCGTGGATACTGTATCTGGCACAGTGGGCACGTATCGCACCCTGGATCCTGACCAGCTGGACAAGCAGCGTGTAGTGGGGCACCTTTCATCTCCCAGAAAAGCAAAGCCCCCAAAAACCACCATTGCCCTGCTCTTTGTGGGTGCCATCATGTATGACCTGGCAGTGGTGGGAACAGTGGACGTGATGGCCCTTTTTGTGCTGAGGGAGCCTCTGAGTTGGAACCAAGTGCAGGTGGGCTATGGTATGGCTTCCGGGTACACCATCTTCATCACCAGCTTCCTGGGTGTCCTGGTCTTCTCCCGCTACTTCCAGGACACCACCATGATCATGATTGGCATGGTCTCCTTTGCATCAGGAGCCCTCCTCTTGGCCTTTGTGAAAGAGACATACATGTTCTATATTGGTGAGTGTGGAGTTCTTGGGGAAGCAGAACATTGCTGGCCCTCTGCTCATGGGGCTGACACCAGGAGTACTGTGGTCCTGGTGTCCTAGCTCAGTACCAGGGATTGAACCTGCCAGCCTGGAGGCCCAAGGGATACAGGACTGTGTGCACTTGCATTTAGCTCTTACACTGTGTATTATCTGTATTGCAGATTGCAGTGCTACCAGGAGGTTGCCCATGGTTCTAGGGGGCCTGGAGGTGTGGTCAGTGGTACCTGGAGTCAGCAGGGGAGGCTTCAGGATGGATGGGGCTGAATTTCTTCTCAGTTTTTTTCAGTACTGAGGATTCAACCCAGGAGCACTGAGCTATACCCTCAGCCCTTTTAATTTTTATTTTGAGCCAAGGTCTTGCTAAATTGCCCAGGCTGGCTACAAACTTGTAAATCCCCCTGCCTCAGCCTCCTGAGTTGCTGGGATTACAGGCATGTGGCAGCTTCTCCCCTATTTTTTTTTTAAAGATGAGTCCCACTATGTAGTTTGGGCCTGAACTCATTATGTGGCCCTTGCTGGCCTTGAACTCATTGTAGTCCTCCTGCCTCAGCCTCCTGAGTGCTTAGCTGACAGGCATTCACTACCACATTGAGCTCCCAATTCTAAAGGGATAAAACATTAAGCAATCCAGCTGAAAGGGTCCTTCAACTAAAATCATTTGGAACCAACTATGGGCTTTTTAACAATGCATTAAAATTCCCAACAAATGACTTCTATGACCAATAGAATAAATCCCCTCAAGGAAGCTGAATGAAGTTCCCATGTGGGGACCAGGATCACAACCACAAGCAGAGAACTCTAGACGAATGCTCCACAGAACTTTCTACAACAGTGGAAATGGCCTGTACCAGAACTCAGTTTATCTCATACAGCAGCCACTTGCCATATGTGTTATCAAGTGTGGTAGTGGAACTAAGAATAGAATTTTAAAGTTCATTTCATTTTAATTAATTTCAATGGTCACACATGGCTAACAGCTAACATATTGGAAAGATCAACTCTAAAAGGTTACCAGAGGCTGCTGTTATACAGCTCAGAAAAACACCTAACAAAATGCACAATAACCTCTGGCCAGTTCTTGGTAGGAAGAACTAGCTATGTGCTAAGGACAGAGTACCCCTCTCCCCTTCCCTTCCCGCCACTCCTCTCCCTCCCTCCTCCCCCTTTCTCCCCTCAACCCTCCTCTGCTCCCCACAATACTGCATTTGGCTAACTGATAGGGCTTGAGGGATGTGTGGCAGCTGTCCTGGGGGACACACTTCTGGAAGTGGGTTACCAAAGCACTGGGACTGTCTCCCATGAGTGTTCATGAATAGTGAGGACAGGTACTTCTCTCCTTCAGAGGCTGGGAGAGGAACCTTGTGTCACTTTGGTGGCACCATGTCTCTTTCCCTAGGAACCACTTAGCTCTGTCAGTCTCCTTGTCAGCTGTGCCCCACCACCTTGCAGAGTGGAACCCAACATGAACAGCTCTGGCTGACCTCAGAGAGTCAGAGTCTGGTTGAGGAGGGCACTTGTCTGCCAGCAGAGAAGTTAGTTCTTCCAGGTCAAACATCTAGGGATCGTGGGGAGAAAGGCTGGAAGAAGTGAGCCAGGCTTTTGCTTTATTCTGATTTCCTTTCAAGGCTGGACCACAATGATGCATGTTCTTGTGTGATCTTTTACAGCACGAGCTGTCATGATGTTCGCTCTCATCCCCATCACAACCATCCGGTCAGCCATGTCTAAACTCATAAAGGACTCCTCTTACGGTAAGTGAACGGAATCTAAGATCTTCTGCCTGGGCTGTTTCAGAGCTGCTGAACTTGGGGCACAGATTTGCAGAAGACACACAGAAAGTTCCAGAAGCATCCTTAAGTACATTAGGAACATAGTGGTTTCCATTCAGGGCAGATAGGAGAGCGAAAAAGACTCAGACAGTCAGTCACTGAAAAGCCACAGAAAGATACTTATCATCCACAGGCTTCAGGAAGATGCAGTTGATGGAGGCAGGGTTCCTGGCGAATTGAGCCATGAAGACTGACAAGGAGTCCTTGGAAGAGGGACAGGGTCCCCCAGGGCTCTCCAGAGACTCCCTTGTGAAGAATAAGGAGAGAAACAACAGGACATTTCCTATTAACCTCTGTCCCCTTCACAGGAAAGGTGTTCGTCATACTGCAGCTGTCCTTGGCTCTGACTGGGGTGGTGACATCCACCATGTATAACAAGATCTATCAGCTCACCATGGACAAGTTTATTGGCACCAGTTTTGCTCTCTCCTCCTTCATATCCTTCTTGGCCATTGTCCCAATTGGGTAAGATGGGAGCAGCATCTGCTACATGGGCTAGGGCCTGGTGTTTAGGTTAAGGGCTGTAGGACCATGTCTAGTCCACCATCGCAGGATTATTTATTCTCAGTATTTATGCAGCCACTTCTGGAGAATAGGTTCTCTCACCAAAAAAAGCCCTCCTGTTCCCTCAAGCCAATAATCTGGCCATCTGGAAATTACCCCAAAACACAAATAATGAACAGAACCCAAATGTGCTGGCTTGCTTCCTGGCAGTTTTGTAGCGACAATTTATTTATAGGCATGTCATACACTTCCTTAGAATTGGAGGCTGGAATTAGAAACTCTCAAGCCATTCAGACCTCTTTTGTTTGGCTCCCTTTGGGTGAGAGTGATCCTGCCTCCTTTCTGAGAGCTATTTCTTCTCTGCATTCGGAAAGGGCCCTGTGCTCAGTGTACAAAATCTCCTGGCCACTAGGCTATGTGCACTTCCCTGTAGGGCCCTAGGCAATTCCCTCTTTAGTTCTGGGAGGTAACAGGCAGGAAGAGGGCTGAGAAGCAAAGGAGAGGCATGGCTGGTCCGTGGAGCTTAGTGAGAACACTAGTCAAGATCATCAACAGAAGCAAAAGAGAGTGCAGTATAGTTCTGCCTTCAACCAGCTCTTCCCAAAAGAAATCAGAGTGTGAGTCACAAAGCCTGGCCACATGTGTGCTTTACATTTGCTACAGAGCTGCGCTGTAAAGGAGTGACAGGTGAAACTAATTGTAATAATGTAGGTGGTATCCAAAATATCATTTCAACATGTAATCAACTTAAAAAATTAATCGAGGAGATATTTTACTTATTTTAAAACTAAGACTTTGTGATCTGGTTATGTGGTTTATACTTACAGTACATTTTGACCTGGACTAATTACATTCTGAGTTCAGTTGCCACTTGTGGCTAATGGACAGTCCTCCTTTAGACTGTTGAGCCCTGTACCCCTCCTCTGAAGTGAGGTTCTCACATGTATCAGTGCTGCCTAGACAGAAGAGAGAAAGAAAGAAAGAAAGAAAGAAAGAAAGAAAGAAAGAGAAAATATATATGCCCACAATAGATACAAGTGATTATATATACATCTGCATTTTAAAGAAAATGCCTAGTAGCACATGAAAGCTCTATGTATTGGCAATGACATTATTATAAGCAGCAGAGCAGAAAATAATTGAAGGTAAATTAAAAGAGGACAGTAATAAAGTCCTTTAATTTTTTTTTTCACATTACATCATAATATAGGTCTCCTGGAATAGAAGCCATCAATCATTAAGGTTCCTGGCTTTCTTTCTTAGTTGAGAAAAATAAACGTGGCATACAGTAGACCTTAGGTTTGATCCCTAGTACCATCAAAAAAAAGTGGAGAAAAATAAGATACAAAGTTCAGATACCTGAGAGGGTTTGTACAAACATAGGCCCATAATCAGGCCTCGTGTCCCAAGGCTCTGTCCTCAGGCTGTCTAGCCCTTTTCATGTAAGTCCTGGCTGAATGGGTTGGACTGACTCAGCTAGAGCTACCATGCAATGCAAATTTCTCAGGAGTTCCAGGACCCTGGCCAAGTGAGTAATGGATGGGTAGTTTTGCCTGGTTGAAAATTATCCGGTCCTATTTCATTGGCAGTTAATTGTAGTTTTTTTAACCTAAACAAATACCAAAAAGCAATAGAGGACAAGTCTTACTAGTTAATGTGCATCATAAAGATATAAACACAAAAATAAAAGCAATGAGAAAATTCAATAATTTATTCCTTCCTGCCCTTCCATATGCTTTTGCCGTACTAAGTAGGATGTCTTGCCTGCATTAAGAGACTTGAGGGTACATGAGGCAAGTGTGCTGCTCTTGACACCTCACCCCAATGCACTTGACCTCCGTCATTTCTTCCTGCACAGGATCTTAATTAACCATGCAGCGTCTTCATGATCATATGTCACAGAGGCAGGGACAGAATCTGGAAACATGCAAATAAGCAACCAATTGGGTGCTCGTGTGAATAAGGCATTTAAGTAATTGCTGAGTATTTCTCTGTCATAGACATTTAGCAGCACAGAAATGTGCAAACAAAGCCAAGTGCTTTGTACACTGCTGTGACTAGGAAAGATTTTAAAATTCTCCTCTCAGGATTCCGGCCCTAGAAATTGTGACTCATCTGATCTAGGCCACAGCCTGACCACAGGGATTATATTTAAAGCTCTCCAGGTAATTTGAATGTACAAGTACACAAAATCAAACATTCTGGAATAAAGGGAATGCTTCCTTTATCTTTCCTGGATCCTAGAAGTTCTTCCAGCTAAAGGAGGCTAATCTGTACCATGAATCATGAAGTGAGAGCAACAGGAAAGGCCCATAGAGCTTTCTAGCCATAGAAACAAAGCTACTTTCCAAGGGCAGAAAACCTAGGGGCCATGTCAGAGCGGACAGAGAGGACTCAAAAGGCTGGACTGGTCCCAATCCCAGTCCTCCTCCGTGATGCTAGGAGAGGTCTCTGGACCAGAACTGCCCACAGCCTGTTTGCAACTCCAAGGGGCTGTGGCTCTGCCCCTTCCTGGCACCTAAGTGAGCCAACTTCCTGCCACCGTGAGGACTTGCCCTCTCCTGCTAGCTCTTTTTTCACCTGCACTAGGGAGATGCTGAGGAAATCGCTGTATGGTTCTGCCCAGCCCTAGTCCTCTCCCCTCACTTAGCCAAAGTTTTGTGCTGCATAGAGAAAACTAGAAGCCACCAGAAGAGAATGACCTCATTTTTCCAATCTACAACCCCATGTTCATTCACACCCATCCCATTCTTCCTTTTATAAATGATAACAATTGTATTAAATATTTCATATATTTAAACTAATTTAATCTTCCTAAACAATCCTTTGAGGTAATTACTGTTATCCCCATTTTGCTGATGAGGAAACAGAAACTCAAACTTGCCATTTTCTCAGAGGGTTTTTCAAACCCTTCTCAATCAAAATTAGATCTTTCTCAAAAAAAAAAATCTTTCTATTATAGGTTCCCAAAGTTTCCTGTAGTTTTCTTTCCCAGCGTGATAGTTGGTGAACATTTAAAGATTGTCTATTCAATATTCTTGCCTGCTAGACTGTAGGCTCCCTGAGAACAGAGACCACGGATGTTTGTCTGACCGTGGCCAAGCCGTGTCTCACCAGGACTGGCCAAAGGATACACAGCTAGTAAGTTACAGAGAGGGACTTGAGCCTAGCAGTCTCTTTCTCTCTTATCCACTACATGGCACTGTTCTCAGGAAAGTCACCCAATGTCTGGGTGGCACCTCTCCCACCTAACACTCTCTCTCTCTCTCCCTCCCTCCCTCCTCCTCCTCCTCTTCCTCCTTCTTCTGCTTGTCTGAAAATTGACTGACCACCCTCTCCTCCTCCTCTTCAGAGCCAGTTGCTCCAAAGGCTGGTCTGCACCTGCGTCTCCTGTCCTCACCTCCCATTCACTTCCACACCTTCTCCAGTCTGACTTCTCCCCAACTCCCCCAGAGCTTCTCTCACAAGGTCACTGATGACTTTGCAGCTTAATTAATGGACACGCTGCAAACCTACCTCCCATGATTTCTCAGCAGCCCCAGCACTCTCAGGCACTTTCCTCAGGAGGTATTCATCCCTGGCCTTCCTAACCCCTCCCTCTTCTGTTTTTTTCCTCCATTTTTCTGATCACTTCTTCTCTATAACCTCCAAATGGAGGAATCCTGTGGGGTTTCTGCCCTGGGCTGTCTTCTCACTTGACATTCTTTCTCTAAGCAATTTAAAGTACTTCCAAACTTCAAATTGCCATATACATTTCCAAAATTGGGTTCCCTCCTAAACCTGCTCCCATTACATGGCACCATCACCCCCCTGAGCTGGTAGAAATCTGAGTCATCAATATCCTTCCTCTTCATCTCCTCCTACCTCCAAACCATCAGGCCTCATTAATTCTACCTCTAGAATGGACCTCAAATTCATGCTTTCCTTTTTATCTCTCCTGCAACCATTCCTAGTCCAAAGCCCCTGGTGACCAAGTTGGCGTTGGAACCATTCTTTGCACATCTATTCCTGTTTCCTTCCTGTTCTCTCTCCACCTGGTGGCCAGAGCAATTTCTTTAAAGTATAAATCCGATCATGTCCTCTTCTCAAAGCTCTGCACTTGGCTTTCATTTCTCTCAGGATAAAACCCAAATGTCTTACCATGGCTCACGAAGTCCTACATAATCACCCCTTGATAACCTCACTACTCAGATTCCAGCCACTAATCACCCTCCTGTATCCTTTGTGTTCAACCATGGTCTTCCCTTTCCTCGCCCACACATCTTTCTTCATCCAGTGAGTTGTGGTCATAACCTAAATATCATTTTCTCAAAAAAGGACTTTCCTAACCCTTCTCAATCTAAATTAGATCCTTCTATTATATGTTCCCAAAGCATCCTATGTATTTTCTTCCTAGAATGATAATTGATGACCATTTAGTGATTATCCCTTTAGTATGCTCCCCACCAGACTGTAGGCTGTCTGAGGCCAGAGACCATGGCTGTTTGGCTTATCATGTGCCCTCTGAGAGCCTAGCACATAAGAAGCCCTCAAGAAGGATTTGCTTAATGAATGAATGCTAAGAAGAGTATGGCACTTACTACCCAGTACTACTTACCACTCACATCCCAGAGCTGCCTGTTGGCCGAACATGAAGTTAGGAGCTGGCCAGAAACACATGGTATGAGTCAGAAGTCAGGACTGCAAGCCAAGATCATGAGGTCCTGTGCTGGCTGCCTCCTAGTCTTGCCTCTCTGTTTGCCAGTCACATAAGACAATGAATTTTATTTGAAGTACAGTAACTGCTCCTCCCAGTAAGGCCCTAGGGCTCATGGGAGTTGGGAAGTTTCTACAAAGCTTTCCCTTAGAAGGTTTCTATTTAGGGGGTGGGGATGTAGCTCAGTGGTTCTGCCGCCTGCCTTGTAAGCACAAGGACCCAAGTTCGATCCCTGGTACCAAAAAAAACCCAAAAAATGAAGGTTTCTATTTAAACTCACACCCATTGGCGACTCCAGATGTTACTCACCCATCAAGACCTATGTTCTCACTTAGAACCTGAGGATCCTGAAGCTCCCACAGATGAGAAAACTTAGGGCCTCAGGTTGAAGGACATGATCTATTACACAGATCTGAGACTTCAATCAAGAGCTCCTAATTGTTGTGACTCCATTTATCTGCTGGTATTTTAGAACAAGGTTTATGGGATAAAGGGACTGGAAGGGAGAAGATGTGGTGCTAATTCTTGAGATTAGCAAAGGTTAACCTTGACTTTGAGGTACATAGGGGAATTCATCAGCAGGCAAGAGATGCAGAGAGATTCCAGGAATATGTAGATGCAAAGTGCTAATGATGTATGAAACAGAGACAGTCATTTTATCACAAGACTGGAAGTGAGAGAAGTCCCCTGGGCCATCCTTCTCACTCAGTGTAGCATTCAGACGCCATAATGGGGACAGCCTCTCACTCCATCAGTGATGAAGCTGTGGCCTGAGATCTCCCCAGCATAGCTTCTCACTCTGAGATTAAAAAGTAGCCAGAGACATTCTCCAACCTTGGCCAGGAAGAAAAGCTACACCCTGTGCCCTACTCCAGCCATTCTAACTCTCTATTGTAAATTCTTACAGAATTGTGGCCTACAAACAAGTCCCAGGCTTTCAATATGAAGACAGGACAGAGAAATGAAGGTGCAGATCTACAGGGGCTTCAAAACACCAGCAGTGGCTGGATCTCCCGAAAGACTAAGGAAGGGACCAGAGAACTGGTGACCAAAGCAACTACTCCTCAAGAAACCTAAGTTCCAGCCAAAGTTAGTCTCCAAATGGCTCTGGTTCAGGGGTCCCAGGTGGACGGGAAAAGCACTTTCTGGGTGATGGAAGAACTTTCTCAGCTCTCAGATGCCCCTATTAGGCAGATGTTAGGTTCTGGGGTGCCAGCTGCTATCCCAGGCCCTAGATGGGGCTTCAGACTCCAACTGCAGCCAGCCGGCCTCCTTTCTTCTGGGTACTATCTTGATGGCTCCAACACAGGACTAACTGCTCACCTGGGTGCTGTGCTACAAGTCCCACAGGAAGACTCAAATGAGGCCTGCATTTCCAACAGCCTGAAGGAAAGGGATGTTTTCTAAGAACTGCCAGCAGTTTTGGATGAACAATATCTTTCAAATTAAAATAAAGCCTTGACAAAAAGTCACTCTTCTTTCCTGGGGCCTTGTTAGCTATGGAAACTCAAGAGCAATGCTCAGGGTAGTGTTCTCATGGTTGTTTTTGAGCAGGAAATATCAAAAGATTTCCTTAATGGAATAGTCAGTTGAATACTGTCAGTCAACAATACTTTCCAAAGTGGGTGGTGTAAAGGGAGAGGATATATAAGAGCCATTTTGTTTCACGGTATTTATTTTTGTCTATTTTACTTACATATATAAAAGCAACTCACCTCTCAATAAAGTCAACATTTACAATGTGAGTGTGTGAATCTTTCTTTCCCCTTACAACCACAGACATGGCATTCTTAAACTGGGGCAAAACACAAAGCTAGAGCTAGAGAAAGCATTTAAATGTCAAGGCTTTTGGTCTCAGAGAGTCTGTATCTGTAATCCTTCATCAGGCAATAAACAAAATTTTATGGCCTATCTACTGGACTAAGGTCCAGGCACCATGCTAGGCGTGGAGATACAGAGAAAATAAGAATGACCATTCCTTGGGCTGGGGATTTAGCTCAGTGGTTCTGGCGCCTGCCTTGCAAGCGCAAGGTCCCAAGTTCAATGCCCAGAACAACAACAAAAAAAAGGAATGACCATTCCTGCCCTAACAGAGCACAATGGTTAGCAGGTGGAGTGCACAGAAGAGGAGGTAGTGGTCCCTCTGACAATGCTCACACAAGGGATCATAGCATGCAGATCTGCGGGAATAGAAAGCTTCTAGGGTATGATAAGACTGGGAGGATAAAGTTACCAAGGGCAGATGCTGGGGAAGATTCCAAGCAAAAGCCAAAATATTCTGGAAAGCTTGAAAGAGAAAAAATTTCCAAGATACAGGGAGAAAAGAAGGAAGGAGAGGAACAGATATCAAGAAGGATGGTATAGAGAGAGGAGACGACCAGAGAGGAAGAACTGCATAAAAGATCCTTTCAAAAGAAAATATCTTTTTGGGGGGGGGGGGTTTAAGTGTTATGAGACTTGTTAGAGCAATGGACACAACAGTTGTTGAAAGATTTTAATTAGAGCACAGAATGCTTACCTGTGCATTTTAGAGCACTCTGGAAGCACTATGGGAGAAGCAGCAAGCAAGGTGTGCAAAAAAGAGACAATCTAAGGGCCAGGCAGCAACGCGGGTGAAGGATCACAGTAGACAGACACATTGGGGAAGAGGCGAAGAGCAGGGAGAAAAATAGATGGATGTGAAGCTAGAGGTGGCCAGGAGTTGATGGGTGCATGGCAGATGGACTGAAGAATGGCTCAGATTTGGGCTTCAGGCAGTCAAGAAGGATGTAGGGCCCTTCACTGAGACAGGCAATATGAACAGTGCCAGTGGGGTGGGAAAGATGAATTCAAGACTATGGTCACCCTCTCCAAACTCACCAATATGCCCTTCCTCTTAATCCTTGCCTTCCATTCCAGCCCGTAACATGAACAAAATGAATTCCTGGCTTCTTCATTCCTGCTCCCAAAAAGCTTGCTCTTAAAGGCCAGAGAAATTCCCTTTTATGTCACTGGCTGTACTACAAAGTGGTGGCTTCTAACCTGAACTGGACTCTCAAAGCCCTGGTCCTGGCTGTTTTTCAACTCCACTGGTCCTCAAAGTAGCACTTTTAACCTTTTCAGCTGACTCTGGGTCACATTTCTTCTAACAGATTTCTAACCCAGTGATTCTTAGACCACTAGCATCAGCCTAATCTGAGAACCTGTTAGAAATGCAAACTGTGGATCCCTACTCAAATCCAATTCAGGAATGGGGCCTGACAGCATGTTATAAGCCTTCAAGTTTATGAACGACCCCTGTAACCTATGGAGCCTGGCTATAAGACCTTCCCTGAGTCCTCCACCCTCTCCATTTATCCTTAATTACTGAAGTCCCCAGATGCCCTATCCTTGGTTCTCTTCTCAAGAGATCTAGCCTGCTCCTGTGGACTCCAGAACTGTTTCCGACAGTTAACATGTCTACCTGCATTTCTCCCAAAGAATCCAAACCAAGTGATCCTCCCACTCCATCACCTAAGAATAGTACATTTTAAAATATTTCTTTCTCTCCTGATTAATATCACTTAATGGCATCACTTCCAGTTCCCAGGATGGAAGTTTTCAAATCACATCTGACTCATTCCCTTCACCATGGAAACTTCCTCAATCCTGCTGCTTGTTTCCATCTCCTTCTCTTCTTGTCATGGCTTTATAATTTATCCCCATCTATTTCCTAGGCCTTCAGTCTGACCACAATCCTCCAGCATCTTATCTCATACCTTCTCAAAAGGAGGTATTGTTCTTTTTAAAAAGAAATTTCAGTCGGATGTGGGGACACATGCCTGTTATCTCAGCATTCTGAGAAGATCACAAGTTCAAGATCAGCCCGGGCAGGGCCGGGGATTTACCTCAGTGGTTCCACTGCCTGCCTACGCAAGCACAAGGACCCGAGTTCGATCCCCGGTACCAAAAAAAAAAGACCAGCCTGGGCAACTTAGCAAGACCCTGTCTTAAAATAAAAAATACAGGGCCAGGGATTTAGCTCAGTGTTTTCGACACCTGCTGCGCAAGTGCAAGGACCCGAGTTCAATCCCTGGTACCAAATAATAATAATAATAATAATAATAATAATAATAATAACAATAATAATAATAATAGTAAAAAATAAAAATTACAGGGCCGGGGATTTAGCTCAGTGGTTCTGCTGCCTGCCTTGCAAGTGCAAGGTCCCAAATTCAATTCCTGATACTGAAAAAAAAAAAAAAGGGCTTGAGACATAACTCAATCCAAAAGCCCTGGGTTTGATCCCCAGTACCACAAAAACAAAAAGAAAACTTTCAAATAGTCAAACATACAGGAAAGTTTCCCTAACATTTAAGTTGGCCACACTTAAAAACAATAGGAAGAGTCTTTCCATAAAGTTCATCGCATAGTAAGTGCTCACCATATACACGTCCATAGGCCTATGGGGAAGGCTTGTCTTCATTTCAAAGATCACTACTGAAGGCTCAGAGAGATGTGACTTGCCTAAAGCCACACAGCTAGTAAATGGAAAAGTTGAGATTTGAACCCACATCTTCTTCCACTTTGCTCCTCACCTTGTGTGACTGCAATCTTAAATTAATGATGTCTACTATGAGGCAGCCAAGTTCAGTATCGATGTAAGTTCACTTCCAATCCACAGGCATCACTAGGCAGACTTAACTGAGCACTCTGGCCTCTCATTTGCAAAACACTCCTTGTTTCACAACAAGGTTCATTCCTGTGACTAGGTCATTAAATGCATTGGTTGCTGAATGAGGAATTGCATATAGTATGTACATTAGAATATTCAGAACAAAGAAACTGTCAAAGGAGACTTCAACCTGATGCTTTTGCTTTCATTTGCATAACTCTTATGTGTACTGCTGTAATATATAACAGAACATAAAGCTGCAGTACTGTACTGTACAGTATGACCAGCCAAAATTATAGTACTATATAAATAAGGTATGCTGTATAAAAAAAGACATTGAGGCGCTATAAACAAGATGTACAGAACTGTACCGAAAAAAAGACAGTTAATAAATCCAAACAGCACCCCTCAGTCCTAAGTCCAAATAGTCATTAAACAGGTCAGTCGTGGGCCGGGGATTTGGGTCAGTGGTTCTGCCACCTGCCTTGCAAGTGTAAGGACCCGAGTTGGATTCCTGGTACCAAAAAAACAAACAAAACAGGTCAGTCATTAAACAAGGAATATCTGTACATTCTTACACTTTAATAAATCACAGATTTATTCTTTTCTTACAAATTTTTCAAAAATAGCCCTAGCAGTAAAAAAAAAAAAAAATCAGGAAGTGACAGGCCCTGAACCAGAGTATGTGCTTCACTGCGGGATGGTACAGAGGAAAATAAAATCTCTTATGTGACACCTGAACTGGCTGTCAATCAGTCTGCCAATCGTGGCAGTAATTATATAGGTAGCTTCTTCATCTCCCCAAATTAGGGTCAATCTGTAAAATGTAGGAGAAGGTAAACTGAGGTTGGATATATAAAGAAAGGAAGGAGAATAAAGAGTTAAATTATAAATTACACATACAGCCGGGGATTTAGCCCAGTGGTTCCATCGCCTGCCTTGCAAGCACAAGGACCCGAGTTCAATCCCTGGTACCAAAAAAAAAAAGATAAATTACACATATAGCTAAGTTATATACATACATTTTTTTCCCCTGTTGCTCTGAATATCCTGACTCTTGGAAGCAAACTGCTACCTTTTCAGAGAAAATAAGGAAAAAGAGACACCCATGTTTTCCTATCCTACAGGCAGGTACAAATGAGAACATGACTCAAGGTAAAGAAAGCATCTTTTATCAGTTTATTGGTCCATTATTTTAAGTTAATTGAGGTAAAGAAACTGTTTTTAAATTTACAAGCTAATAGTTTATCAAGCAGTACAAATTCTTTGTTTACCTCAAAATGTAATACTAATCCCATAGTAAACAGAATTTTCTATACACAGACATGAAAAAAAAGTGGACAAAAACTGTGTGCTGGCATCAAAAATTCAACAAAAACCTTTTTCTTTAATTTTATAATCTCTGGGTTCCATAACAAAGAAAAGGAGGTGACATTCTTTTAACATTTGGTAGCTTCATGAAATAAAGACTTCAATCTGTAAATAAACCACTTTCTGAACACACACTCTCTCAAGCACTTTTTATTTTCACAGCTTTTGTTTTGGCTTAATGGCAGCATGGAGAAACTGTAACACACTTACATGGAGGACTTTACCAATACCCCAGAAAGGTTTTTTCTTTTCAATTTTTGAACATAAAGAATGATTTCTAAAAATAAGAACCATAGTCCATAATGTGGACATGTTCTAAGCAAAAGTTTTAATCTCTTAAACAGTTAAAATACAAGTTTAGAAAGTTTGCTGGCAGTTTGTGTCACGGGAGTGTATCAGACGTTGGTCACCTCATGTAGTCCTGACTCACAGAGATGGGGGCACAGGCAGACAGAAATACAAGGACCAGGGACTCCATGGGACAGGACTGAACCTCAGGGGTGTCCAGGTGAAAGGTGCTGACTGCTGAGAAATGCTGGGTTGTTATCTGATGAAGGCCTGGCTGGCATAGCCATTGCTTTACTGAACCAATTCACATTTTGGTCTGCCATCTACTTCCCCTCTCCCCATTACCACACTGAGGAAAGAGCGATTCTGCTTTGCTCCTTCCAGTATCATTTCTAAGCCAAGGGCTGCTCTACGACTGTGAACAAGTCCGTCCAGCAGGGGTGTGGACAGGTGCTGGCTGCTCTGACCTGACTAGCTGAGAGCCTAGATTTACCTGGTGGCCAGGCAGTACTCCTGGGATAGGCACATATTCTTCACCACTGATTTTAACTAAGAGCTCTGCTAAAATGGACTGTACTATGTGAGTTTCTGTAATATTTTATGTTTTCAGCATTTCAGCCTGTGGAGAATTTCTATCCAAAACATGGTGCTCTCAGGTCCCCACAGTCAAAATCGGGTAAACCTTTAATGCTATCATAACCTACAGAGTTCTTTTCACTATGATTTGTCAATGCTGATTCCGTAGGTCTGTAATCAAAAGTATGCCAAAAGGCACTAAATTAATCTTTCACACTTTAAAACAATGAAAGGTTTGTGCTCCCTGTTTCCTTACATTATTAAAAATATCATTTGGCAATGGCAATACTTAGTTCTCTCTCCCAAAAAGGCCACCCTAATCATGACTCTCTTTCTGTCTTCTTTTTTTAAGAAGATCACGGACTGACTATGTTAGGTCTCTAAATTTCAATGGAACGACTGATTTCTAAAACTCTACCCAGAATTTTAAAAACACTAGTTGAAGAATAAGGCATATTATTATAATTAGATATTTAAAATTTCTCAAAAAGTATAGTTAGGCTTTTAACAGTCTGTGGTATTTTTTTAAAATTCTGGAATTGATTTTCAAGTGCTAAATACACAGAGTATTTATATGAGACAAACATCGTATTGTTTTTTAAAGTTATTTTTCATAGCACTTATTTACAGACTAGTAAAAACTACCTGGATAACATATTTTTCTGCCACATAGAAAGGCTGAACAGGATGCATTTCAAATACGTAAGAGGGAACAGGCCCCAGCCTGGCCTTTTTAAACGCAGACAGTCCCTCCACTCTCCCTGATATGTGCAACTTTGGGGAGAACTGACATCCTTAAAATAAAAGAATGGGTTAGTGAGTAACTGGATTCCTGGATTATTCACTGAATTGAAAACAAGAGATACCAGGTATAGTGGAACTCGCCTGTAATCCCAGCTACCTGGGAGGTGGAGGGAGAGGGGGAGAATCACAAGTTTAAGTCCAGCCTGGACAACTTAGGGAGACCCTGTCTCAAAATAAAACTTAAAAAAAAAAAAAAGGAGAGGGTGCTGGGGATGCAGCTTGGTGGTTGAGGGGCTGACTAGCATACACAAGGCCCTGGGTTCATTCCCCAGTACTAAACCAGCATGCCTGTAATCTCAGCACTAAAGATACTAAGACAGGAGGATGCCGTGAGTTTGAGGCCAAGCTGAACTACTTAGGAAGTTCAAAGACGACCTGAACTACATAGTGAAACCCTGTCTCAAAAAAAAAGAAAAGAAAAGAAAAGAAAAAAACCAATCCCCAGTACTGAGAGAGAGAGAGAGAGAGAGAGAGAGAGAGAGAGAGAGAGAGAGAAAGAGAGAGGAAGAGGAAGATGGAAGAAGAAAAAAAGAAGAAGAACAACAAGAACAACAACAAGAACAAGAAGAAGAAGAAGAGAAGGAGGAGAAGGAGGAGGAGGAGGAAGAGGAAGAACTTCAACACACCCAGCTCCATCTGTAAGTTTGGCCTAGGAGAGGATATTTACCTTAAATGTACTGAGAAGTGCCACCTGCCATGTGAGTATAAGCAGCAAAACACAAGCAGTGAAAGAGTGTACCCAATCTCTTGCCATCCTGGCGACTTTTGAAAAGTGTAGAAGGCACACCCAAATTGCCAACATAACCCTGTAAATGACAATAGCCAAAACAGTGCTACCCCAGTCATATAATTAGCTTTCTCTGTTTCCACAGGTCCTTCAAGTAGGTGTCTGGATGGATGTGTCTTGTCCTGACCATAAGCAGCTGGCCTAGGAGGAATCCCCAGTAACGCCATCTAGCCAGAGCGGAGCCCAATTCTAACCACCCTAAGACCCAACATGGTCTTGATGGTTGTTTTGGAGGATCTTGCATTCCTCCTCTCTCAGCAACCCAGGATAAAGGGTAGCAAAAGACTCTCCCACACTCCAGGGAACCTCATCACAACCGAGACAGCTGCCTGTGGCTGAAATGAAATGCTGCCAATGGCAGGATCAAGTCATACAAGCTGGGTGTTCCTTGGGCTACCATCCCAAGACAGAAGCTTCACTTGCCGCTGCCATATGGCCACTATGCCCACCTCTGAAAACAGACTTCCAGTTGTTCCCTCACCACAGGCAGCCACACAAGCTATGAGGGGTTTCCTCATGTGGAGTGGCCACTGAGAAAACCTGTTCCACTAACATCTAGAACACACTCTGTGGGCTGAAATCTGGCATGAAACACTTATCTTACATTCACCATGATCCCCAGCTTCACGCTGCCTTTTATTAATTGAGCCACAGAAAGGTGTTGGGTGAGTTGCAGAGCAGCGTGATCTCTCTAATCACCTTCATTTCATCACCAAGCATTATTAACCCTTATGGAAGGATGAAACCCAACCCCAAACCAGGCTGAGGAATGAGCTCCCTCGTGTTGGAGCAGTGGTTTCTTGCCTTCAGCAGGGTCACCTGGACTCTTCTTGCAGCTCCCTGCCCCGAGAGGGAGTGCTGTGACACACCTGCTGCAAATCACAACTGCTCCCTCCTTAACATCATTTGCATCTCTAAAATTTGCTCAGTTTCTAGGAATTCACTCTTCTGTTTTCCAGATTTTTAATCTAGGTGAAGGACACCTTTCCCTTCTCAGGACCCAGTCAGCTGCAAGGGACAACTTTCCATTCCATGTTCTCAAACCTCAAAAACTGTCTATATCACTCTGCTTGAGGTAAAGTATGCCCTTGAGTAAAAAATCTTATGGAAATAGACAGAAGAGAGGAGCCAGTGAGCTGTGGGGACTTGAGGATACAGTGATAAAACCTCTCCAAGGCCATCCTTGGCACAGAAGTCTCTGAGTCACTCGTCACAGAGGGACTGTCCTTTGCACCCAATCAAGATTAAAAGGCAAACACTTGGGGCTGAAGAATCTCTGTGGCACGTGAGTGAGGAGGGCTGGGGAGCCTCTGTCACTGCCTACTGTCCCCGCCCTTCTAGGCCAGCCTCCTCAGCCTATCAGATGCCAGCCTAAGGACAGGGATGAGAGTCCCTTCTTGGGAAAGGCCGTTTCTCCAAGGAAGTCATTAACATACATGAGTTTTCTTGGTTCTGCCTAGAGGACAGAAGTCTGCATTGCTTCAGCTCTTCCTGGTGTCTCAAAGCACAGGAACACTACATGGGGACCAAACAAACAGATGGAGATAAAAATCTCGAAGTGCCTGAGTCCCTTCAGAATCAGCACTCTGCATCCCATGAGAGAAAATGACTGTGGACCCTGATGGCCTCGCCTCCTCACATTTCCCAGTGAGGAGCCACGCTGTTTTTAAAGGACTGTTTGTTTCTTTCCCAACTACCACTGCCCAGGAAAGACTGGGCTTTAGCAACCAGCAGGTCACCCTGTTCTAGTTTTCCTGTAACTCCTTCCTCAGTTCTTTCCAAGCATTCATTATACTGGACAACCTTCTTAAAGCACACAATCCACAAGATAAAAGCTTCCATGTTCCAAAAATAACATTCATCACTGGGGCTGTCTTGTGTCTTCTGCCAAATATCTTCTGGCAGATACTAGATACAAACCCCAATTTTACCAACACACCGTCAGGCTGGACCTGGACACCCATCCCCACACCAACACATGGTTTAGAGGTAGAATGAAACGCTGAGTCACTGGAGATGGGGTAGATGAGTGTTCTTACCCTTCTGCTTCAGTGAATCATTTCTATTTGTACCAAGCTGAAAATTCACATCAAAGGATTTTAGAATGGCACAGATGGGGTATAACAGTAACAGCAAGTACCAAATGATATAAAAATTATCATTTCTGTGACTCTAACATAATCAAATAGAACCAAACTGTTCTATGCTGTCTCACTGCAGTTCCAATAGTGTCCCTGTTGTGGCTGACACAAGGTCAACTCTGCTGTTAGAGTAGAATGAAGCAACTACAACATGCTGCTCAGTGACTGGTATTTGCAACTTAACTCGCACATGCAGCAATGTTTTAACTGCTTCATTTAAAAGACAAAAATAAACCAGATGTGGTGGCACATGCCTGTGATCCCAGCACTTGGGGGGCTGAGGCATGAGGATCACTGTAAGTTTAAGGCCAGCCTGGGCTACATAGTGAGTTCAAGGCCAGCCTGGACTACTTGGTGAGACCGTGTATCAAAACAAAACAAAACAACAACAACAACAACAACAATAAAAACCAGAAATAACTACTGCTTATTGATGCTAGATTTACAGTTCTATTGGGAAGAGTCACCAAAGAACACAAATATGACATCTGCCACTTCTTTTCAGGAGGAAAAAAAAGTGGAAGATAGATTCTTTATGACTATTAGTTTTATGGTGATTTAAAAAGTAAACCTGGTAATAGTTTGGAATGAAGATTTTAAACACAGCCAGCAGCCCCTAGGAATTTGGCTACAAATTGAAATTTTAGCTTAGCTAGAAGCAAAGAGTTCACTGTTACCCTTGTCACCTCGAGGTCCCTGCAGTCCTGACTTTTCTTCTTGATCAGGAAATGTTGAGGGTTAAAGCACTTTATGTAGAACATTCACATTGTTTACAAATTTTGACTGGGTCATAAGGATGCAACATACTAGCCCTCTCACCAAAAAGCTGCCCAAACATCTCATGGACATGGTGGGAAGTATTCAGCTAAGTGTTTTTGGTGAGGTAAAGGCAAATTGCACAAAGCAGACATTGAAAGTGAGGCTTAGTATATGCCCATTGATCTCAACAACAACAGGGGAGCTACTCCGACTGCAAAACAACAGGTATTTCCTAACACATCTAATCTTGACTGTATCAACAATTAACAAACCAAAAGAAAAACACTAAAGACCTTTACAGAGAAAAAATGCACCTTTTTTCATTTTCCACAAAAAGTTGCTAATCTGTTGCATTCTGGTATCAGAAACACGGTGGAGGAGCACTCCCCTCAGCTTCCCAAGGCATCACATAGGGACAAGGACACTGGCTTGCTCGCTCAAGCATAGGTGCATCTAGACACTGATTTCAATGGCTCCACATGAACCTGAAACAATAAAACACATGTCACCTGTCACAAGCAGGCAGCAGGCCACACTCACAGCTACAGGCCACTGTATATTAAGGACTTTCTGTGGAGGTCCTAACACCTCCCTCTAGGCTGGGCCAAGCCAAGGCCCACAGGATCAAGTGCAGGGTTGCTGGGTCACCACAGCAAGCCACAGGGTGTCTCTTCGACTCCTTCATGTCCTTGAAAAGCAGGATCTGCATTCTCTCCCACAACAGGCAATGTGGCTATCTCCAAAGAGGAAACTCTCATGAGATGTCACATGTCAGCTGTGGGTTGTTGTGTTCCGCACTTTCAAGCCTTCATAGTGTTCCATTTAGTAGGTTCCTTCACAACCCGGAGGTATGCTTCTTTTTCTGAGAGATGATTATAGCCTCACAGACTCCACTGAGGAATAAATACTAATTGAAAATGACTGTGGGGTGCAGGGAGGGAGAAAGTACACAAAGGAGAGGTGCTTCTATTCCCAGTGCCTCCTCTCTGGCACTGCAGGGACATTACGGTACAGAGAGCCATGGCCCGTGCAGGTAGAAGAGTCTCTGTCCCAAGAAGGAGCCTACTTGGCCTCTTGTTTCTCCTGCAACAGTGGAATAATCGACTCCCACGCCATGAGGCACTGAAACGAAAACATGCGCCCAGAATTAGCATCGAGTTTCAGATTTCAGGGTCAGTTTCATCCAACTGCTCTGGTCTACCCATTCATTGTCAATCCTGCTTGGTCACCTTTGTCTAATGATGCCTACATGTATTATCCATAGCTATCATCAACAGGGGAGGTAACAGGTGTTTGTTTGGAATGTGTTACTCCCATCCTTATGAAAGACAGCAGTGTCCCTACAAGACTTACATACACTCACAGTAGCGCAGGAAGCTCATACCCAGTGAGGAGACATGGATTCACTGTAAGAAAAATCTTTCCCTTGAAAAAGCAAAATAGAGACCAGACAGGATGCCCTTGATGAGGCCCTGCTCCAGGTGTGGGTAGGGCCTGCAAAAGAATGTAACCATGACAAGCACCTGGAATGGGCCAGCCACCTGAGTAAGAGGAGGTGGAAAACCTGCTCTTCCTCACCAACTTCAGATTGGCTTGTTTGGGCCATGACTGGATCTCCCAAAAAGGAGAACAGGGGAAGGAAACACAAACAACTGAGTTTCATTACATCTGAAACCGCTGGGTATTTTACATTAATTATCACTCTATGAGGAGGAAGCATTATTTATTTGTTTGTTTGTTTATTTATTTTTTGGTACCAGGGATCGAACTCGGGACTTTGCACTTTCGAGGCAGGCAGCAGAACCACTGAGCTAAATCCCTGGCCCTATTATTATTTATTATACACACCTTTTCAGATGAGGAAAATGAAAACTCAGGTTAAATAACTAGCCCAAGACCCACAGCACCTAAGGCACAGAGCAAATTGAGGCTGTGTCCACCACACAGTCCCTTTTCATTCTAGATCCTTGGGACAGGCCAAGAACCTGCCCAACTCAGGCACTGCCCTCTCAGAGCAGCCTATTTAGTAGAAAGGATCCTCCCTCAGAGCAGCCTCTTGCATTAAGGGAAGGAGAGGTCCACTGCACTAGGCCTATCTTAGGAGCAGCCCAGGGGTGAGAAGGACTCAGTACTGAGTCACCCAGGAATGAGTTCTGAGGCGGTGGAGAGAGCGGCATCCTCAGGTCACACAGGAAGGAGGGATGGTGACAAAAGTTCCTCCGTTTCCTTTCTTGATGACTCTGAGGTTAGAGAAGAAACCAGGCACAGAAGCTTGTCCCATAAAAACAGGGCTGAGGAGCCTCAAGGAGCTTGCTTCCAGCAAGGGACTCAGAGTGTGGTCCTACTCTTTCTCTAGGTCATCACTTCAGATCTGGAAGGATCTTTCTCTATCAGCACGAGGAACTGAGGCCATATCAGCTTCCTTTTTGTTCCCCAAGTGTTTGGTCTCCAAGCTCTTTTCTATCTCGGGGGCCTTTAATATGTTATTCCCTTTGATTGGAAAACATATTCTGCAAGTCTTTTTCTCTATGGCTCAGAGTAAATGTTATTTCCACAATTTGGCCTTTCCTGTCCTAGTCTGAATTATGCCCTCTTGTATTTTCTCCCAGTTTCCTTTTTCTTTTGCTTTACCATGTTTCTCTCTTAGCTGTGGGATTCTTTCATGAACACATAACTTCCACTGGACTGAAGGGTGCCTTAAGGGCAGAGGTTCTGCTATCTGTATTACCAACTTTGTCCACCCAGTTCCTTGCACACGGCAAGTACATAAAAAGCACTTCCCAAATATCATGTAGGAGCCAAGGCCAGGCCCCAAGACAGTGACCCTGTTTGTGGAATAATGGGAAAACACAGACATAAACCCTGGAGTTGAGTCCTGAGGCCGGGGCTATAGAGATGCTGGGATTCATCTCCAGGAGGAGTGATGAAGACACTGGATCTGGTTGGTTTTGGAGTAATGGAAAGGCTGTTAAATAATGAAGGGAAAATGAGAGGGTCAAGGAAGGAAGTAACACTTATGGGGTGCCTACTATGTGCTAGGTATGATCTAGGTACACACATGCATTATTTCAATTATCTTTACAGCTATGGGTTGTTGTTTCTTCACTTTCAAGCCTTTGTAGTGTTCCATTTAGTAGGTTCCTTCACAACCTGGAGGTATGCTTCTTTTTCTGTGGAAATGGATTCAGTGGAGAAGGATCACTCCCATCTTACAGCAGAAGAAACAGAAGGACAGATGGCACCTTGGCTGACGGCACAGTCAGAAGAGAAAGGAGGTCCCATCTCATATGGAATGATCTTCTCACCTTTGGGCAGCCAGGGCTGTTCTGGAAGTCACATGCCCCTGTTCCCTAGATGAAAGTGGGTGGGAACCACCCAGACTTGTGGGCCTATTAGCTGTGCAATCCTACTTCATTCACTCATGGGCTGTGTCCCCTTGACAGAGTTTTTAAACCTTGCTGAGTTACAGTTTCTTCAACTTTAAGTCGAGAATACTAAGCCCTAAACAGTGTGATGTGAAGGGTAAATTTAATGACATATGCAAATCCTCCAGTCCAGCACTGGCCCAGGATCACCACAAGGGTTTCACAGAAATGGGAGCAGGGAAAGGTGCACTCACCTCCTTCTGCTGTAAGCAATCCTCCCAGACAGCTGACAAAGTATGGGCCACTCCAGGACTGTTTCCCTAACCATCCTCCTGGTGAGCTGGAAAAGACGCAGACACTTGGCCTCTAAGGGGCAACCTGAGCCAGCAAAGCCTCCACAATAGATGGATTCTCTAGCTTGAGATGGGGCCTGTTTCTAGGATTCTGCTGTGAGGAGCCAGGTTACTACCTGCCCATAGGCTGGGAGGCTTTGTCTTCCTAACAGTTTGATTTCAAGTTTATAACTTGTTGAACTGTGATTAGCCCATTCTTTAGAATTTTAGGCTTTTAAGGAATAGCAAGATTTATCAGCATAAATGACCTAGAACTAGATATATGAAGGGCAAACCTTAAGGAGATTAGGGCTATAGCTTGATGGACAGCGTGGCCGGGGGTGGGGGTGGGGGTGCTGCTTAACCTGAGGTCTATAGATTAAGGGGATCCAGGAATAAAACGTTTTTCAATAAAGCTGTTTTCCTCTGTAACCCTACATACCTTTACTTTAGATATTTAAACCAGTATTTTGAAATCTGTTTTTAAAAAACTAAGAGCTGGGCACAATGGCACCTGCCTGTGATCCCAGTTATTCAGGTGCCTAGGGATGGCAAGTCTGAGGCCAGCCTGGACAGCTTAGTGAGGCTTGTCTCCAAATAAAAAATAAAAAGGGCTAAGCACCCCTGGGCTGGAGCCCAAGTACTGAAAAACAAAACAAACTAGTTTGTTGTTCTCTGTGGTATGGGGGAGTGAACCCAGGGCTTTGCACATGCTAGCCAAGCTCTCTACTACTAACTACACTCCCAGCCCCTGAAAGCAAACAGTATTTTAAAGACAAGGGGTATCAGCTTCACCAGATGACCAAAGGGGTCCAGGGCACAGCAAGAGTGAAGACTCACAAAGCAGCATAAAATGACCCCCAAGCCTCCATTAACTAGCTGGCAGCACCCACATCCGGAAGGTCCGACTGACTCAGGCCACCTGCAGGACTAAAGGGCACAGAAGATGAAGCTGCTGCTTCGAGCACCAGTGGGTTCAAGGGAAAACCGTGTGGGTACTCAGGGCCTCTGCTCAGATACAGTGCCACAGTCAGCACAGCTGGGCAAGGGCATGTAGGGGAGCTGAAACCAAGCAGACAAAATAAGGAAGGAGAAGAGATGAGCAGGATCCCTGCCTTTGCATTTGGGCAGGCCCTCAAGAAAGGCTCTGGCTATTAAACTAGAGTCCTGTTGGGCCAGCTCCTTACCTTCTCATAATACTGGATGTTCTTGTCAGCCAAGCCCATGAGCAGCTGCCGGAAGTCTTGCCGCTTGTTGTTCTGCCACCTCTCCATGTCGGCCTTCAGATCGGCATTGAAACACTCCACGCGATCCTGACACTTCTCCACGTCTGCTGGCACCTGGTAGGGGGAAGCATAGGGGGTGTCATATGTGTGACTGCTTCTCTGGCCTCAAGCTCCTCTACTCACACAGTGGTAGGAGGCCAAGGGGCAGCATTAAATGACTTCTACACACTCCCTCTTCTGCAGGCATCTATCTGAAAGCAAAGCCTCGATTCAGGAGGTCTAAGAAGGAGTTCTAAAAAGGACTATCCTAACCCAACAACAGACATGGCGGGGGGATTAAAAAACAGGAAGATGAAACACTGAAAACTCAGAGTCAGATATCTTTGGAACAGGAAGATGAAACATTGAAAACTCAGAGTCAGATGTCTTTGGTTCCTTTTAAGATTTACCCATCCATTACTCAGCCATAAAGAATGAGAAATTAGAGACATTTGTAGCTAAATGGATGCATATTGAGCCCATCCTCTTAAGTGAAATAAATAGGACACACATGTGCAAATACCGAATAGTTTCTCTGGTGTGAGAAACTGAAAGTATAAATAAGGATCAAAATGTATAACTGATAATGTGAAATAGGAAGAAAAGGTCCAAAGGGGAAGGGGAAGTGGGAGGGGTAGGGTAAAGGAAAGAAGGGAAACGAATAAATATGAGAAAAGGAAAAAATGGAAACAGTCTTTGTAAATAGTGAGGAGTTGGGGGGGTGAAGGGAGAGCAGGGGAATGGGGAAAAAAATAAGAACCAAGATATAACATGTAAAAGTACAAACTCCCAATAATTAACGTCATCATATTGTATACCTAAAATGTACCAATAAACTTAATGAATGAAAAAAAAAGATTCACCCATCCATACTTTAAAAATGTTGCAGACTGCACGCACACAACAGTACTGGGTTATTGCCCTGCTGTTTTCCTGTGTCCCGTTTTGGAACTAGAAAAGAAATAGGTTCTCCCAGATCACAAAAACAATCCCCTTACTTATAATGTTTGATAACATCTTTCCCTATTTTGGGCAGCAAGACTACTGGCCAGCTTCCTCCTCTGAACCCATTACAAACAAAGTGGATACTTGTTTCTGTTCCTCTAGGTCGAGATAATATAAAATGGTGAGTTACACTTAAATAAGTCTGAGAAAATGAGAGGAAAATTATGTATATACGTCGAAAGAATTTGAAATACAGAGAAGAAAAATAGCACACAATTTCAAATTTTTTAAGGGGTTCAGCAGATGTTCTCAAAAGAGAACTATGTCAGCTGAGCATGGTGGTACACCTATAATTCCAGTACCCTGGGAGGCTGAGACAGGAGGAGGATCAAAGTTCAAGTCCAGCCTGGGCAACTTATTGATGTAGCAAGATCCTGTCTCAAAATTTAAAAATAAAACAAGGGCTGGGGTGTAGCTCACTGCAAAGGCCTTGAGTTCAATCCCTAGTCCCCTCCTCCCCACTAAAGAAAGACCTGTATCACTTGAATTTCACAACTTTCACTTTGCTTATGAGTTTTGTCCAGCCTGCATGGCTAGAGGGTTCTGTCCATCCTACTCACAGTTCTCTCTCCTAAAAGAGGGCCACTGGGGGCTGGGGATTTAGCTCAGTGGTTCCACCGCCTGCCTCGCAAGCACAAGGTCCTGAGTTTGATCCCTGGTACAAAAAAAAAGAGCACCACCGGGCCCTGCTAGTGGCCAGAGGGTCAACATGCCCCAAACTAGGTCAAACACTTCCCAACAGCAAATGAGTGATAGAAACAGAAAGCAAAATGGTGGTTGCCAGGGGCTGGAAGGAGGAAATGGGGAATTACCTAATGGAGGCAGGGTTTCAGTTCTGCAAAATGAAGCATTCTAGAGACTGGCTGTACAACCACGTGAATGTATTTAATACTACTGCACTGTACACATACAATGGTTAAGATAGTAAATTTTGTGTTATGCATATTTCACTATAACTAAAACAATTTAAATATATAAAAGGGAAAATGGAGGGGGCTGAGGAAGGCAGGGCTTAGGGTAGAACCCTGAAGAACCTTACATATTTTAGAATTAATAAAAGGCCTTGCCAGAGGTCATGAAGAAAGGCGGTCACAGAAGTGAACCAAAGAGAACAGAGCCAGAGAAACCCAGGGATGGAGGGAGTTGGAGGCAAGAGCGGCAGGCAGGCCTTGCAAAGAAAAGAATGAAGAGGAGAGGCCAAGCTGTCTGAAGTGGCCAGCTTGTGCAGCTGCCCTACTTCATGTAGAAGAGGACTGCAGGCACCTGGCACTCAGGCCTGCATTCTTCCTGCTTGTGTTTTCCTTCTGAACAGTATCTGTGACAATCAGCTTACTGACCAACAGCATCCAGCATTCCTTCTTAATGTTTCTGTTTTCGCAGCTGTGGCAGGGTTAAGAGTTCTTTCCTGGGTCTGCAGGATACTAAGGTGGCAATATCCAATACTAATAGTTAGCTGTTGCTTATTATAAGACACCAAAAAGAAAAAATCAGATAAGGTCTCAAAAGTTAAAAATTGTTAAATTTAGGTTCCCCTATCTCCCTATCTCTTGAGAAAATTCCTGTTAAACAATACAAGTTGGTTGGGTGTTGGGAAAGGTGGGATGACAGTATACTTTTTTGTGTGCTGGGGAGCAGGGAAATAAATAAAATTTACTCAACATTCATTTAAAAATCATACTTGAAAAAAAATTATACTTGATTAGCCTTTGTGTTGCCCATTCACTTTTGAAACTAGTGAGTGAGATGTCAAAAAAGGCAAAAATAAATGCTTTGCAGTCTTTTCCTCCCCTTATATTTAGTGTCCTTGGTGTAGGAGCTGCATAAGTAACAGTTAAAAAAAATTATACTTGAGCCCTTTCCATGCTCAGGGCATTTCCAGGCTCTAGCATATAAAGAAATCTCTCACTTATATTTCTTCCTAAAGCTAGGTTGGAGATACCACATCATAAACCCCAGTGACAAAAGCAGGTTAATACAATCCCCCAAGACTACAGAGCAGACAAAACTCTAAGACTCGGGGAGAAGAGAACTCATGGCTTCTGTGGGAGAGGTTCCCAGGTACGTAACAAGACTGATTCAAGATGGTGGCCTCCTCAGGCAGAAGCTACTGAGTGGGCAGGAGGAGCACAGCTTCCACAGGAACAGCAGTAGCAGTGACACTGATGCCCTCAGCCCTCTGGGAGGCCAGGTCCCCCAGGTCAGTCACCTTTTCTGTTTAGCGCAGTGTGCCATACAGATATTTTCAGTTTCTATGTGAGAAAACCCTGGGTTGAACAAAACAAAACAAAAACTTGGGAGCATGGCAGATGACAAGTGGGAGAGAAGTGAGTGCCTAAGATGAGCCAGGCGCCGATATGGTGGAAACTGGACAGCCATGAGCTCACTGCACCACGACAGAGAGAAGCTGGGAAACAGAGACTGGAGGCCCTGAGAAGGTCCACAGTCCCTCCCCTCCCCTCCAGGGCCCATCTCTACATGCCTACAAGCCAGAGCCCAACAGGGCACACTTGGAGGCTGAGGCAGAAAGATCACAAGTTCAAGCCTGGTCAGGGCAATTTAGTGAGACTCTGTCTCAAAAAATTAATTACAGGGCCGGGGATTTAGCTCAGTGGTGCCGCTGCCTGCCTCGCAAGCGTAAGGTCCCGAGTTCAATCCCTGGTACCAAAAAAAAAAAAAAATTATAAAAAGGGCTGGAGATGTACCTCAGTGTGAAGGCCCTTGCTTCAATCCCCAGTACCACCAAGCACAAAAGAAAAAAAGTCACAGTCCTCTCCTCAACACAGCAGATCGTTGGGAGCCTGCAGAGTAAGGGGAAAGGACACCAGGTCCAGCATTTGAGAGCTTTGGCACATAAATTATGTATTTCCTGAACCATGGTTCCCCACCTGTAAAGTGGGAGCAACCACAATGACAGAAGGCTGGAATTAGAGAAGATAAGGGAAGAAGGTGACAGAATTCTGCTCTCCGTTGGCTGAATGAGTATGGCCACTGTGGACAGAACGGGGCAGCACCAGGCATCTCTCTCTTCACTTGCCAAACAGGTAGCTTTGCTCAGCGCTCTGGTCTGTTGGAGCCCTGTATCAAGAACTCTCCCATTGCATCTCAGAGCTGGAGTTCTTGCCATCTGCCAGATCTCCCACATTCCGGAGTATTAGCCATCCTCATGATTCAAAAAGTTTCTAAAGCTGCACAGCTGTCCAAGTAGGGCCAGTTCCTACTTCCCTGCCCTAACTCTCCTCAACCTAAGAAGCTAAGTACATCTTAGTTTCTGTTCCCATCCATCTTCACACCCACCTCCTCCCTCAAACCCACTCACCTCCATACACCACACTCACCTCTACACACCACACTCACCTCTACAACACATTTGCCACGCTCAATCACCTCCACAACACACTTGCTCACCTCCACAGCCTCACCCAACAGCCCACACATGTAGATGGACATTTTAGGTAATGAGCAGCTTCAGATTTTACTGTGCTTTACTTATGTAGTTTTGAGCTTATAAAACCAGAGCTGCTGTTGGTGAGCTGAGGGCCAGGGTATCGGGAAGTGGGTTAGAGCAGAGCCCAAGGAGTCCGCTTGTTGTCCTGTTGGAAAGCAGTAGAGGGGGCACTGCTGTGAGGTCGGAAGCACAGACGCCAAGGGGAGAGGGCCAGTGTAGGCGCGTTACCAGAGAGCTGAGAGCATGTGGGAGCTCCACTCTGAAGTGAAATCTTGAAAAAGTTGCCCCAAACAGTGAGTGAAAGCTGATTTTTGTGAAGCTGCAGAGTGGAATGGGAACCTGATTGCTTTTCTGTAACCCTGAGGAAGGAAGTGGCCCCACAGAACTCCATGACCCATGTCTCAGATTTCAAACTGGGGCGGTTGTTTGGGATAATGGAGTCCTAGGAGGACGTTTCTTTAGGATGAAGGAGAAAGCCCTGGGCTGGGAGCAGGAGCTGAGTGAAATACTAGCATCACAGAATTTCAAGGTTTGGTTTAGGCTTAAGGAAACTCAGCAGATACCAAAATGGTTTATTCTCAGGTAAATATCACTGTAGATTATATACACTTAGCTTTCTTCATTTTAATTTTTTTTTTTAACTTTTTGGTCTTTTGTCTTGCTATATATTCCCAGCTAGCCTTGAATTCACTATGTAGCCAAATTGGCCTCAAACTTGTGGCAATCCTCCTGACTCAGCCTCCTGAGTGCTGGGATCACAGGCACATGTGCCACCACACCTGGCCTCCTCATTCGAATTTTGAGGTTGAGAAATTACAGGCACCACGGAAGGGCCTGGCTGCCTTCTGCTGGATCTATCAGGACTATGGACTTGTATCTTAGACTTCAACCCTCCTTAGAATATCAAAGGATATCAAACTATCCCTCCAAGGGATCAAAGCTATTTATTACTGGAAACAAGAAGGGGCCAGAGAATTGCATTTAAAAGTAACCAGGAAGTGTAGGTATCTTAATGTGAATAATAAGCATAAACCATGGAGTGAAGTTTTACATCTTACTCTATTTTGCATCTGACTGTTTTCAGTACTAACACATTTATGTATTATTACTTCAAAAAGGAACTATGAAAGGATGTGAGGAGGGAACACTTTACAAAATATTTGTTTTTTTATTTTTTGGTTTTTTTGAGACAGGGTCTCGCTATGTGGTTCAGGCTGGGCTTAAACTCACTACGTAGCTCAGATTGACCTCGAACTTGTAGTGATCCTCCTGCTTCAGCTTCTCGAGTGTGGGATTACAGGCATGTGCAACTACTTATCTTGAGAAGGTAAAAAATAAGGAAATGAGGTGCTGCTTTAGGGTCTGGCCCATAAATGGCCTTGTCCTGGGTAGTGCCAGGTGAAGAAGCAATTTGAAACGGGTAGTATCACTGGAAGGTGTGTTGTAGGCAGGTGAGTGGGCATGGCACGGAGGAGAAGGTGGGAGTGGGAAACTGCAAAACATCATGGGAACAGAGATTTTTTTTAAAAAAGGAGATAGGAATGAAATTCTCCACCAGCATTCCTGCTGGAGACACCCAGAGCTACAATGGACAGCAGCGGCTCAGACACCACGCTGAGCACTTTATCACGATCTCCTGTATCAGACGACTGAGGCCCACAAAGGCTAATGAGCAAACCAGTCCAAACTGAGGGCACAGCTAGGCTTTGAACTCAAGACCATCTGATTCTAAATCCTGTGCTCTTCCTACCACACCACGCCAGTCTGGACAGGCTGTCAGCAGAGCCCTCCCCTGCCCACACACAGCTGCTACTCCAGACCCAACAGGTGTGAGATCTCTGCTGGGCCACGGTTAGCTTGCACTCACTGCCACACTATCACAACAGCCCATTTTATCTTTAACTATTCCGACTGAAACAGCAAAAAAGGACGGGCCTACCCACAGTGTGGGAAGAGAATACAGATGCATCTATCAGTCTTACTGTCGGGGAAGAAACCCTCCCCTCCTGTAAGAGTTCCTGCAGCCAAGAGGAAGAAATCAGCACTGGGAGAGGAGTCTCCCACATTAGCAAGAACAGGGGACAAGGCACGTCTGCAGCTAGGCTGGGCGGTACATAGGAGCCCAATCACCTGTTCCCTCTGCCTGAGACTGCTTCCGGGAAGGTGTGAGCTTCCCACAGCCAGCAAACTAGGACACAGTCAAGATTTAATTCAGCCTATTATTCATAATCTTCAGCTTAGGCAGGGCTTGTGACTCTCCTCCCCTTCCTGGCCAGGAAAAGTAACTTCTAGTTTTTTAAAAGTAGTTAAGGGGTAGGGCTGGGGATTTAGCTCAGTAGTTTCACCGCCTGCTACGAAAGCACAAGGAGTTCAATCCCCGGTACCAAAAAAGAAAAAAAAATTTAAGGGTCGGGGATTTAGCTCAGTGGTGCTGCACTGGTTCACAAGTGCAAGGTCCTGAGTTTGATACCCAGTACCAAAAAAAAATTTAATTAACAAGTAATGATTGTATACATTCAAGATGTATGAACTGATATACATTATGTAATGATCATATTAAAATTAATACCTATTACTTCCTATGCTGTACATTGGAGCCACAGAATACATTAATTTTATAACTAAAAATCTGTACTCTTTGACTAACATCTCCCAATTTCCCCATCTCCTGCAACCACCATTCTGTTTCATTAAGTCAACTTTTTTAGATTCTACATATAAGTGACATCATATAGTATTTGTCCTTTTATGAAATGACTTCTATCTTTGTATTTGAAACTAGATTGTTAGCAGAAAAAATTTAAATACAAAAACAGTGCTCTATGACATTCCTTTCAATGAGGTTAAGGCATGGGTTCAACAGACAGCACCATGTTCCAGAATACCACAGGGACCTCTAGAAATCTGCCAATGAATGGGTCATGCTGCTAGAGACAGAGGGCAGCTGAGCACCTGGCTAGCTTTCCACCATGGTGTCCCTCATGGCACATGGGATAGAGGGCTGACAGCCTGTGGCAAGAGGAGCAAAAGAGATGGTGTCCCAGCCACATTCAGAGGGCCAATACCAACAGTATTAGTTCTAGCCTGGTTTCCATGAGTGGAGTCTCTTTCCGCTCCTGCTGTCACACCAGTGTGGTTCACCATGAATGACATGTGAATCAGTACAACAAACACGTATTATGTCCCTGCTGTGTGCAGCATGCTGGACATATGGTGTCAAAAAAGCTAGGTAATTTACTGAGCAGCTCTGTAACTTTTGCTGTCCATTAAAAAGGACAATGTCTTCCCTCTGGGCCTCAGATGACTAGCATGGTGATCATGAGATGCAATTAATATAAAAAGTACTACATAAAGCCAGAGTGCCATTTCTGGGTTTCAATTTCCCAAAGTTGTCAACAGGCAGCAGGAGCAAGAACCAAGGCAGAGGAAGGACAGCAGGATGGAGATAAAGAACAAGGGAGGGAGGGAGAAAGGAAGAAAGAAAAGTTCTGATGTCAAACTATTTCCCTGAAACTTGAGTCCTACTATTATCCTTCAAGTAACATTCCCACCTCCACCTATTCTGTGAAAACAAATACACCTTCCAATTACAAACAAAAAAAGAAACAGAATAACAAATGACAAGAGTCTATCACTGGACTGCGGGATGTAATCCTCACACTACCAGTTGCTAGTTAATATGATCTTGTGATCTGGTTTGTTCAACTCTCAAATGGGAAAAATAATGGCACCTAAGACATACACTGTTGTATGGGAAAATGATATTTTTTACATATATACCTAGGTTAGCACATTGTAAGCACTTGCACAATGGCTATCATTACTCATTTTTAATCATGGCTGGATGGAAATAAAGACAACAAATGGAATGCCCATACAACAAGTGCGTTTTACAATCATGATCCTCTGTTTTGACACAGATCGCTGGAGCCAGAAGGCAGCAGACACTAGTTAGACCAGTGCTTCTCAAACCCTGTAGGGTAAAGGACCACTTTATTAGCTTTCTCCCTGAATCCAACTAAACTGTAATCCTACTGTGAACGTCTAGCATAGCAACTTGCCCCACACGCAACTCTGCAACCCAGTTTGACAACAACATCCCCATTGTTTGACAAAGTGTTGAACTAACTGGTGCTGCAGCAATATCAAGTTGCTACAGAAGTTTCTAAATGCTCTCTCTCTCTCTCTCTCTCTCTCTCTCTCTCTCTCTCTCGGCTTCCATCCCTTTCTCATTATGGGTCAGCAACAGTTTGTGGGCCCATCCACAAGCCTCCCCTTGAGTGTAATGATCTGGACTGTTCATTCTATGCAATACCATTTTATGGTCAGAAACCATCAATAAATGTCACGGCTACATGTCTTTTTTAAAAAGTTCCCAGGAAAACTCAACTCTAAGTACACATTAGGAACTCACAAAAATAGAGGGACCAAAAAGACAAAAATAATAGCATCAACTCAGCTCAACTGGTGCTGACCACCTTAGTCATACAGATCTAGAGATGAGAATTACTGAGATCAACAGGGAGATTACAGCTGTCAGCCTGAAGCACCGTGGCCCTTGCTGGTGGCTTCCCTGACCTTGGGGCGGTCTTCCTTCCTCAGAGCCATGGCTTCCAGTTTGGCTTCGTACTCTGCTTGAACTTGATCTCTCTTCTTCAGTACACTCTGTGGGAGGCACAGAAGAGACAAATTTAACAAGGATTCTGCAAAGAGGCCTTGCAAAGCCCAGGCAAACACTTCCCAAATCCTAGCATACCTAGCCAGGCCCAGCCACCCCAGGGCAGGTCTTCTCATGGGCCAGAAGCTGCAGTGTGACATGTGACAGACTGGAGGAAGTGTGGGAAAGGAGGGAAGAAAGGGGAACCACTCTTGGAGACCTAGCTTTTCCAAGAGGTAGCTGCCTGATACTGAGAGTAAAAAACTTCTGAGAAGAGCAAGAGAAGAAATGGTGCCCACCTACTGTCACACTGACGGAGGACTCAGCCTCACCGTGCACAGAAAACTTGGCTGTATGTGAAGCTGGGCCCTCACAGGTTATGATGTGCTATGTTCTCTGAGCTCAATGGAAAAGTCTGAGTCAAGAAGGTTTTTTCCTGAAATATACACATCATTATGGTATAGCTTAATTGAGCTAATTAACATGAATCACCTCAAAAACTCATTGTTTAGTGCTGAGAATACATAAAATCTATGCTCTTAGCAATTTTAAGAATATGATACACTGTAAGTAGAGTCACTGTTGCATACTACAGTGATAAGAGTTCTTGACTCCTAACACTGAGTTGATCCCTGGTGAACTGACTTATTCATTGACTCATTAACTGTTTATCTGTCCTCTCTGGATGAGATATACAAAGAGCAAAAAGGTTTAGTCCCTGCTGCAGAGTTCAGTCTGAGAGAGGTGCAGACATGGTGTGAGGCTGTATGTGCTGTAAGACCTATATGTGTACACGTCCAGAACTCCTAGTTCCACACAGCCTTCGAGAGTGAGTGGAAAGTAGGCCCCAAAAGGACCAGTCCCAGGTGGAAGCAAGGTGAAGCAAGCCAGGTGCTCAGAGTGCAAAATACAAGGAGACACTCGCTCGTAGGCCCATGGTGGTAGGTCAGCACTTTCTATTCTAGTGACTGTCTTCCTTAAACCTGTGCCTGGGCTCACCTCTCCTACCTCACATAGTCTCAGCTCTGCCACTAAGACCCACCAAGCAAAATGGAAAAGCTTACAGTAGACATTCTACAAAAACATCTGTTTTATCAAAAGGGTTTCTTTTCTTCTGGTAGAATCACAAATGGCAAACCAAGAATGAATGACAAGAACTTTCTTTCCCACTAACTCAGAAGTCACAAGTTGCTATGAAGGTTTCTAACTGTAAACTCAGGTCTCTCAGCAAGACCTTCTCGAAGAGCATGGAAGGAGCCACTCTTGGGCTATGCAGGGGGCACCTTGAGCCCCTGACTATATTCTCAAAGGTGATGAGTGACTGACTAGTTGAGAGACTCCAAGGCCAACTTTCTAACGGAATGTAGAAGGAAATCCTGGGAATCCCAAGTCTTCCCTTGAAATAAGAATTTACTGTGAGGACTGTTTGCCAAAAAAAGAACATGAAGTAAAACCTACAATCATTCACTTTTCATGATGCACCACCCATCTTTTGTTTAAGGGCTCTGACATTTGCTCCTTACACTCGTTAATCTGTAATAGCATTACTTCCAGGGCTGTTCAATAGCACTCTGGGCTATGATGGAAACATTCCATTGTCTGCCCAATACAGTAGTGATTCGCTTCACGTGCCTGCTGAACATTTAAAATATGGCTCATATGACTGAGCAATGGGTTTAAATATTTATTTAGTTTTACTAATTTGAATTTAAACTTAAATAACTATGTACAGCTAGTGGTTATTATATTAGATGGTACTAATCTATAAAGTAAAACCAAACAGGAAAACCTAGGCAGCAGTCCTTTCTGGGTTTTAGAAAATAGTCTAAATCTACTGGTCTGATAACAGGAGTAGTAAAATCCCCCCCACCCCAACACACACACAAGAGAAATAAACACATGATGCTATCCAAGGGAGTGCTGGAGCAGCCAGGGAAGGGGCCAAATGGAATTCTTATCCATCATACGTATTTCCTTTCACAGGATGTGCCCCATCTTACCCAGTCTAGCACTTCTAGGAATAAGGATGGCATTCACCAGGCCAGAAATGCTCTTTAGACAATGCCTGGCATAGTCATCAGTGTAGAGCTTTGTGTCCCTCATTCTACTCTACATGGCTCTGCTGAGGATGTCAAGGTCCCTGAGGGGAGAGATGGGGAGAGAAGATGCAGCCCACACTGTGAAAATGGTTCAAATTTGTCATTTCCCCGCCTCCCCCCAAGAAGGCAAGGGAGCCCCAAATGCAGCTCTATTTCCTCTTCCCACCCCCTCCACACCCCCAACCCAGGCAGCCTGGTCACTCTCCTTGGCTTCTGCTGTCCCAACCTCACCTGGAACAGCCTTTTGTGGAGGCGGCCACAGGAATAACATTCCCGAGTCACGGGATAGCATAAAGCTTCACAACTGCCTTGCAGAGCCAAAAGGCCATTGTCCCTGTTTTCCAGACATGGAGACTTGGGACAAGGACAGTGGTGGGATTTTTCGAGGCCACACTGCTGGCTGACAGCACAGCAGTGACTCATTCAGCCTCCTCCTGCTACTTTTCGGCTTAGGGTTTTCACAGACTGAGTACAACTCAGCCATGCAAAAGGTTGGGAAGCACATTTTGAACTGAGACAGTTTACCACCCTTGTGACGAATACCTCTGCACACTGCTGGCCATGGATTAGGAGGATGGGCCTCCCACCCATAACACACAGGCTCTGCTGATAAAACTGGTAAAACGGGCCTGTGACTACTGAATGGGACCCAAGTCTGCAAAAAGGTAAAAGAGCCAAAAAGCCAAGTCAGGGTCTGCAGAGAGGAACAAGCACAAGATATGTGCCTGAGCCTCTCACCCAACTTTCTAGGGATCTCTGATTCTCCAGATAGCACAAAAACAGGCGAAGGCAGGGAGACACTTTCCTCCTTGTGCTGTGCCACCAACCTCCTCTACAGCCATCCTCACCCTGTTTCTGCCTTAAAGCATCTTGCTTCATCTATGCAGGAGTAGGCATACAGCAGAAACAAAACCCACAAAACCCTTGCCTGAAAGGGGCTTCCATGATGGAGATTAGGTGGATAACAAACAAGTAAAATACACAGTGAGTGGGGGCTCTGGGTGTTCTGGAGGAAAAGTAACACAGGGAAGGAAGAGTAAAGGACTGAGGACTTGGGGGACTGTAAAACTGTACACAGGGTGCTCAGGGAGGGCTTCACACTTACACGATGACTTTTATAAGAGACATGAAATAAACTCCTCTCAGACACTATATATATAAAATATAAAAAATAAAACTGTACACAGGGTGCTCAGGGAGGGCTTCACACTTACACGATGACTTTTATAAGAGACATGAAATAAACTCCTAAAAGACACTATATATATAAAATATATAATTTCACTTGGTTGGTTGGTTGTTTTTGAGAGGAGGTCTTGCTGTGTTGCCCAGGGTGGTCTTGAATTCTTGGGTTCAAGCAATCTTCCCATTTCACCCTTACAAAGGCTAGGACTACAATTGCATACTATTGCACCTGGCTCTCTAGAACGCCATTTTATGTAAGGGACTCGACCATCTGAGAGTTGTGCTGTCCTTGGGGGCCAATATCCCCTAGATACTGAGGGGCTATAAAAGGTAACACACTTGGGCTGGGGATTTAGCTCAGTGGTGCCACTGCCTGACTCACAAGCAGAAGGTCGAGTTTGATGCCGGGTAACAACAACAACAACAACAACAACAACAACAAAAGGTAACACACTCCATGGAGAATGTGGGATGTGGGATGGTTTGCAATGTTAAATAAGGAGATCAGAGGAGGTTTTATTGAGAAGGGGACACCTGAGGAAAACTTCAAGGGAGAGAGCAGGCTACACAGGCCCGGGCTCCTGGTGGGTAGGGGTACAGCCAGTACAAAGGCCCTGAGGCGGGAGTTGCCTTGTGTGGATGGGAAGTGGGAGAAGGCCAGCATGGGTAATGGAATTGGGGTGGATTGGGACAAGGAGCTGAGTCAGAGGTGACCAGGCCAGATCCTGCAGAGCAGGTCAGGGGCTCCAGCGAGTTCTCAACAGAGTGGGCACGTGATCTTGAGTGTTGTGGTGAGTTTAATGGTGGCCTCAAAAAAAAAAAGTCTGACATGGGCAAAACTCCTGAAACTTGTGTATGTAACCTTATTTGGAAAAATCAGAAGTGATTACATTTAGGATCTTGAGATGAGGTCATCCTGCATTATCTGTATGGGCTCAACCCCAATGACAAGTGTCCTCGGGAGAGGCAGCAGGGAAGACAGAAGGCCGTGTGACCAGTGAGGTGGCAGCCTGGAGCTGCCAGAAGCAGAAGGGCAAGGGATGGCATTGCCTTCACACCTCTGGCTAGAGCCCAGCTCTCAGGAAGACACCCTGGGTGGAGACTTCAACCTCCAAGGCGGCGACAGAACTCATTTCTACTGGTTTAAACTGCCCAGTTTGAAACTTTTTTTTTTTTTTT